TCCTGTGGTCCTGTTAAGATGACCTTGAAGACCGATCAGAGGAAGTCGAAGGAGGAGGAGGAGGAAGAGGAGTAGTCTGAACGATAGTGTCTGGCGTTTGGGGTCGTGTCGGCTGCAGTGACCGTTCTTTGTCGCACGTAGGTAAGCCTTGAAGAAGTCAAAGGGTTATAGATCACACTCCGAACACCCGGAGTCCCAAGTGCATAGAGAAGTGCAATTTAAACACCATGAGTGCGGGTCCTTGTTTGACTTGAGCCCGTTACACTTTAAACAATGAGGTAGTGGCACAAAGTGTGCTAAGAGGCAAGCAGAAAAGTATATATTAATAATCGCCGAAGGGAAAACATGTACGAAAAGCGAGGGGTATCAGAAGCGAACACATCGCCACCCCGACCCCACCTAAACAGCAACTGGTTTGACAAACCTGTTAACCCAATATGGGCCGCCATACTGACAGCAAGGTATACAAAAAAAATGCTGGTGAGGAAAAAAATGCAAAGACTCCCTCCCACACAACATGCGCCATTAAGAGACAGGATATATGATGACACAGAGAGTCCAGGATACCCTAGTATGAACCAAAATCCACGAACTGAAGCGAGAAAGCAGTAAAACAAGCGAGTGAAAAACACAACAACAACATGAACGAGACACTCAACCCCAGTGAGTACGTCTGTCTTCATTCACTAGTTAGCAAACTAAAACATACCAGGTAGTAAATAATTAATGACCACAAGGGAATAAATGTACCAGTAGTAAAAAATAACCTCAAGGTATAGAATCTCAATCCACATCTGCTTCGTTACACGAATAAAGGCTTGTTTATATGGTGAAAATATAAACATGTGCAAATTTGCATACATGAGTAAATTTACATAGGGTGTGTAATTTGCTAGGGTGTGCAATTTGCTATGCGTTCATACGGCCAAGCGGTAGTAAATCTTGATAATAGTTCATTTCTGCACTAGCAATGGATGGAGTAAGACGTGAGATAACAAGAAGGTATAGACATTTCCCATATTACATCAGTGTTGGTCTGATACTGGGATGTATCCCTATCATAGCTCCTAAATATTAACACGGTATTAAAGTATTTTGTGAAGATGTAAGCAATCCTTTCTTTTATGTCAACACATCAATACAATATTGCACCACATGGACCATAACCTCAGAGAACACAGAATTGAGCAATAGTTAAAATAATCATGAATGTATCATTCATAGTCTTGTGTCATTCATGAAGTCTACAAATTGTAGAAACTTGTTCCGTCTTCAGTATCAGTTATCCAAGAATCGTCATTTGAAGATTGTTGGTTGACTGTCGAGGAATAGCGTGATGAAGGGCTGGACCTCTGACCGTTACACCTCCATCATACTGAGCTGTACTACCCGTGCTGTATGGGACAGGTGGGGGCTGTTGTCCTGTCCCCCGTACAGCTCTCATAATCATATTCATCACGTTGAATTGGTGCTGTCTCTCTTCACGCTTCTGTCTTTCATCTGATTCGATCTTGGCTTTCTCGACATCAAGCTTTTGACGTTCAAGTTCTATTTTCTGGCGTTCAAGGTCAAGACCCTTATCATCAGCTCTCTCGTTTGCTGCACTAAATCCATTCATCACAGATTTCAGTGCTACTTCCATCCTTGTCTTCCGAGCTCTTGTCTTCCGAGCTCTTTTCTTCTCGCTTTTCACCTTTTCATTTTCCCCTTCAGTGGATTCCTTTCTTTTATTCTTTCTGCTTCCCGTGTCAGATGCATCCTTTTCATCCCTTTCAGTTTCATTATCAGCAAGAGGTGTAATGTCAGCACAACCGTCACCAACAGCCTGTGTGTTTGCCTGTGCTGTATCATCAGGTTCACAAGAACCCCCTCCTTCATCTTCGACTTTCTTGGTCAATGTATCTATAACCTTCAGAGGCGACGAGGCTGGTCTGGTACCAAGAATGGCATCCAGTTCTTCAAAAAACTTACAAAGTTTCCTTCCCTTTCCACTTTTCTTCAGGTTTGATTTACACACTCTGTATGTCCTCTTTAAGGTATGGATTCTCACTTTACATTGGTCAGATGTCCTGTTGAATCCTTTTGCACCCATTTCTGTCACGACAGTATTGTACACCGAAACATTGTTGCTTTGGAGGTTTTCCAGTAATTCCTCTATACTGTTATCTTCCCATATTGCCAATAGGCATTTTGTTTCCTCGTCATTCCAAGAAGAACCGCGTCTTTTGGCACCGCGAGTTTCTTTCCGGTTCGCCATTGTCATGTGTCTGTTTTTAATGGAAGCAAGACATCCAACTGATAGATATGTGACCAATAAGGCGTGTAAAGTTTAGGCGGGAAACTACAAAAATAGTCATTATGAAATCGAGCGGGAAAAATACTCACCCTGAGTAAATTTGCTATGCGTTTATACGACCAGATTTGCTTAGGGTAGCAAAAAATAAGCATTTACTCACCGGTAGTAAAACATTTGCATCCGGTCTAGTCCAGGGAGTATTTTTGCTTGGGGTAGTACAATTTGCATATGTGTAATTGCGTTTATACGACCAAATATACTCATGTAAGCAAATTTACACATATGCAAAAAATACACATGTGTGCAAATGTCGCCGTATAAACAGGGCTTAAGAAAGGAATGACTTTTCCATGTGGCCACAAGATCGACTGCCGTGACCTTATTACCGGTCACCCCTGATGTCTTCAGTCGAACCACCTTCATGAGTAATAGGTCCGCAGTCTGTTTTCAAAGAGTAAGGCAAGTATGCAAAAGATGATAAGAGGTAAGTCAAAAGTTTATCTTCTAACTAAATATTCAGACATTTTAAGTTGCAAAATCAGTATTTTTTATACAGTTTGGTCATTATGCCATAACCGATTTACTTTGTTATATTGTCATTTGTTTGCTTTCTCTGTACCTTTGTTGAATTTATGGTCACAACTATATGGATATGCAATAGAAATGATAAAAAGTAATAACAAACATTTTATTATCACTTCTTGTACAATTCTACCTTAATTCACCCACTTTTTGTATTAAAGAAGGGACCCTTTCCTGCAAACAATTACCAAGATTGTTCCAGATGTGCTTGATGGGGTTCAGATCGGGGCTCCTTGCAGGCACAGAGAGAGTCTCAATAGCATTATTCTGCAGGAATCTCCCACAGCAAGGGAATGATGTGGCCAAGCACTGTCGTCCATGAACATGGGGCAGTTAGACAATAGGTTGTTATGAAAAAGGCATAACAACTTGATCAAGAATGTGCTGGCCATTAGGATTTCCAATGTCAACTAGAGTCATGGGAGACACATCCATAACTAATTTAAGCCTCCATCAAACGGAACAGCGGGGATGAATGTTCCTTGGCACACAGTCAGTGTTAATGTGCCTCAAAACTCTCTGACGACAATCCGTGACATAAAGCAGGTACCTTCTTTTGTCTGACCAATGAATCCATTTCCAGGTCAGAAAATTTCAGCACCATCAAGCAAAAACCCACAGCAGACATTGCCCTTGATGTTCACGAGCCAGAGTTAGACACCTGATGACCCTTTGCGACCTCAAACTAACACTAACAGCCTTGAGACAGTTATGTATGGTCTTAGTAGATACACACTCTGTTCTGCACTCAGAGTGTTTGTGGTAAAGGACCAGATTTCAATCTTCCTGGTCTGCCCTAGACTTGGTTGATTCTTGACAGCGCTTGTTTGTTGACAAGTCTACTGATTACAGATTGGCAGTAACCAAGCTGATGCCTGATGGCCCTGAATGATATGCCATGCCATCTTAGTTCCAATGAAAGTCTTCTCTTCGCCATGATAATGTGTATGGATAAAACAGGTGGCATATTCACAAGTTGTATACCCTTGAATGGCCAGGCAGAGATACTGCTTTTCATGATATGAATGTGTAGCATGCTGTGTAGCATACATGTTGACTGCATTTCAACTCTGACCTTGTTTTTTCATTACCTGAAATGTGCTACTAAACAATGGCGTACATCACTATGATGAAATATATCAAGGGATGCTTAATTAAGTTCCATGTGTATACATGAGGTGAGGTGAGGTGAAATTGGGTTTAACGTCGTGCTTGAGAATATTTCGCTCATATGATGACGTGCATGCGTGTGTATGTGTATGTGCTAGCCCACTGAGATACCACACCGCAGTGAAGCATGAATACCCCACTCAGACACATTATACTGACTCCGAGCCGACCAGTCCTTGTTGTACCCATTAATGCCGAGCGCCAGGCAGGGACCAACAAGTACCATATTTTAACGTCTTTTGGTATGACGCGGTCGGGGATCGAACCCGCGACCTTCCACTCTCCGGGCGGACGCTCTAACCACTACATCACGGAGGCGGTCCTATACATTAGGGTGACTATTGAGGGGGAAACAACTATTACGATAGTGATAGTCTATTGCAACATACTTTTGCAACAGCGATAGTCTATTGCCACAAATATTGCAATTTTTTTCTCCTTGAATTGTCTCATTTGACGTCATTTCGAAAATGAATGTATAGTTTATATGAAATAAAAACAAGTTGAAGTAGTTTCAGTCTCTTCTAATAACTGACAAGAAACTTGAAACCCAGATCAAGTAAACAGATAAAACATAAACTCAATGAAGATGCAAGTCTCCACTCAAACATTCTGAGGTTTTCTTGCGCTGCACATTTATCAACAAAAGTCAATTACTAAACAATCGATAGTAGCACATACTATTGATGCATTGATAGTTTTTAGTTTCTATCATTGATTAATTGCTATCAGAGACTCAACAATTGCAATCCATCGATAGTTCAATGTATCATTACAGCCCTAGTATACATTGAAGAAAAAAGTGAACTGTTTAGTTCATACGATGCAATAATAAGATAAAAATAATTAAATTATTTATATTTCTAAAACCTGTTCAACTATAATTTGTGTTTGTTTTCATGGGCCCATACCCATGAAGATACACTAAGAATTCTCAGATTTGTTCTCTCACCTTGGCACTGGTCCTGCTGGTCCAACTGGGATATTGGCTGAAGGCATCTTGTTGCCATGTGGGAACAGGTCACTGATGAGAAAAAAAGGATGTGTACAGAAACAAAGATAAGTTAAATATGTCATAAGACTAGGTGTTTTACAAATACAAGACAGGAACCACACATTACAATACATGTGCCAAAATCAACAAAATTTGGTGAAAGATGTAATATTTTGATTAAAATTGATATTTTATACTTATCCTGACTCATGCTTAATTGCTTGTCTCCTTCTTGAATCCCCTTTTGAAGCTCCCTTCACAAAAGCAGACGTAAAATCACTCACCCAGTGTCACCTCCCTTAGGTATTTTGGCGGCAAAATCTGTCACATGACCAAACACGCTCTTCACTCTCTCCGAATATGAGCCCGACACCCAGATTACAGGGAATCCAGAGTGACATGAGGGGAGGTTGGGAGGGCTGGCCTCATGAGTCAGGATAAGAATAAAATAGCAATTTTAATTAAAAAAACTACATATGTTTCCTTATCCTGACTCATGCTCAATTGCTTGTAGAATCCAACTGAACCGGTGGTGGGTCAAGCCACTCTGGATTCATAGCTTGCTGATTTACGTCCTGCATACCCCCCCCTGAGGGAACTTCTTATGGCACTGTGCTGATCCTTTCTTCCAGCTTCCTCTGATGAGTCTGGGGGGACCACAACTTGTCAGATTTCTCTGGAACCGTCTTCTGACATTATGTGTGGATTTATGCAACTCCATGTCTTGATGCTCGCATCAAGTGGAGAAGCGACCCTTCTTCATGTACGAGTAAGTCCTTTACAAGTACAGGGTCTGTCCCTCATGCTTGCCTGTCCTAGACGTGCGCATGGACTCTAAAGCTCTAGCACTGAGCTTCAGAGTGTTGGCTTTTACAAGTCACGTGATAAAAGGGTGAGATTCATCTCAGCGCCTTTGAGGAACTGTCAATTGTTGTGCTACAACAAGAGGCCCAAACTGGTGAATGCCGGAGACGTCCTCGGTAGCAATGTCTCTGAGGTAGTGGTTGGCAAACACCGTCTCCGACTTCCAAAAGCAGCCCTCCATTATTGTCGAGATGGAGCAGTTTCCATGCTGAGCGAGTGTCGATGTCAGCACTCTGACTTCATGAGGGTTGGAGGCTCGTGGAGGCTCAAGTCCTGCTGCTTTGTAGGCTCTTAAGATGACGGCTCTCATCCATATCAATATCATCGTACGTGAGATCTCTGTAGGCGTCTCCGTAGATAGAGGGATGAAAAGGCGCTTGAATTTTCGTCTCCTCGTCTTAGACCTATGTAGGTAGACTTTCAATGCTCTGACTGGGCTTAAAGATAGGTCCTGAGTATCCTGTGGCCCAAGGACTGTCGAGAGTGCTGGGATGTGGAACTGTCTGTCTGGTTGACCGGGCAGTTGGTTCTTTGCTATGAAGTCCCATCTCAATCCCAGATGTACAATGTTGCGATGTGAATCAAATCGTATTCGTTCAAAGTCCAGAGCATGTATTTCCGACATCCGAGCTGCTGTTGCCAAGGCGATCAGGAACAGAGTTTTGTGTGTTAAAAACTCATAGGATGTCCTTTCTAGTGGTTCGTAAGAGTCACTGGTGAGATGCTGCAAGACTACGTTGAGATCCCAAGCAGGCGCTTTAAATTTCTTTTGTTGGTCTTCCAACTAAAAGGAGCGTAGTAGAGCCAGTATCTCTGGTACTTTGGTCAGCTTAACACCCGTCTTCGTGGTGATAACCGTGCTGAGGGCCGCTAGGTATGTAGAGGGTGTTGAACCTTTTAACCGCCTCGTTTGTCTTAGATGACAGAGGTATTCCGCCACTTGAGGATGTGTTGCTTTCATCGCCGTGAAGCCCTTCCTTAATGCATATTTCTCAAAACTCTGCCACTTGTCGTCGTACAAGTTGCGGGCTGATCTACGTAGAGCTAGTGTGACTGCTTTCGCTGCTCTGGCGGAATATCCTCTTTTCTTCAAGCAAGTCTTGATACGTTCCATGTGTGTAGCTGGAATACTGTTGGATTCCCGTGTGCTTGCTTGGTGTGCAGATGAATTAGTAGGTTTGGCAACTCTGGGAGTTGCAGGGTTGGACTTCCGAGTTCTTGTATGAGGATGGGAAACCACACCCTCACTGGCCAGTAGGGCGCGACCAAAATCAGTTGCAGCTTCTTCGTCTGCTTGATTTTCTGCAACACCTGCGGTAATAGAGCTGGAGGTGGAAACGCGTAAGCGTTTAGTCCTTCCCAGGAGATGCTTAGAGCATCTGTTGCCCATGCTTGTGGATCTGGGACCGGAGAGACGAATGTTGGTAGTTGTTTGTTGAACTTTGTAGCAAACAGGTCTATCAGTGGAGATCCTTTCCTCTGTATGATGCATCTGAAGGCTTCTGGATGTAACATCCATTCCGTCGGGGATGGCTGAGTTGGACGAGATAGGGCGTCTGCTATCACATTCTTGGCTCCGGGAATGTGGCATGCTTTTATGTCGATGTTCAGGTTGTCTATTATGCTGAACAGATGAAAGCTGAGGTCTAGAAGATTCCTTGACCTTGTTTATCCTTGTTTGTTGATGTAGAACGCCACTGTGGAGTTGTCAATATGGATCATCAGTTGAGCATTCCTTAGTATGCTGGACCAGTGTAGTAAGGCGTTTATTACTGCTTTCATCTCGAGCATGGTGATGTGCAGACTCTGCTCCTGACTCGACCATTTCCCTGCTGCCACTTCGTTGTCGAGGTGGGCTCCCCATCCTTGAAGTGATGCATCTACGTAGAGATGAGTGTTGCACTCCGGCTCTGATAAGTAGGTTCCTCCGCAAACATTCGACTTCCCGAGTCCACCATAGAAGGTATCGTTTCAGTCTGTCCGGTAGTCCGAAGGAGTCCAGACTGTCTAGATGAGCGTTCACGAACACTTGTAGTGGGCGCAGTTGTAGTCTTCCTCTGAGTGTCATGTCTTGTGCTGATGTGAGAAGACCAAGTAGGCTCTGCCAACTTTTTAGTCGTAATGGAGAGAGTAGTGCTTGAGATATCATGTGTTGTATCTTGACCCAACACTCCTCTGGAACGACTATGCGATTCGCCGATGTGATGAGCCGTATTCCTAGGAATGGAAGATCCTGTGTGGGTTCTAGTTCCGACTTGAGGAGATTTACTAGCCATCCTAGTTGAGTTAGTAGCCTGATGGTGTAGTCTAGTTGCAGTCTGAGTTGACTGGGATCTTGATGAGCTTGAATCCCTTCGTCCAGGTAAAACGCACTGCGTAGACCTCGATGATGTAGATATGTGATGACAGGCTTTGTCACTCGAGTAAACAACCAGGGGGGCCGACGATATTCCAAATGGAAGCACCTCCCATTGGAAATGACGTCCGTTGAAGAGGAATCGTAGGTATCTCCTTGAGTCCGGATGTATCGGGATGTGAAGATACGCATCCTGTAGATCTATGCTGGCAAGGTAGTCTAACGTTGACGACCTCTTCCTGGAGCCGGAGCTTCCACCTGTCACAGCAACATGCTCCGTAGTAGCAACCGGTAAATCACTGGAATGGTGAATGTCAGCAGACAGCAATGAACGGTTATCAGCGCAATCACTCGATTTAGACATGACTTGTAAAAGCCGTCTAGACTTGTAAGAATGGAATATAAATAATTATTAAATTCAATTTCAGATAAATGCTGACAAAGTTGACAGCGAAAGCTGCAATTAGGACATAATAAATGCGGATCAGCAACCGACAACCGGTACCTGCAACGATAGCAAGTTTTCATCAATTGCAAACAAGATGAAATATCATGTCAACAACGTGAATAAACAGAATTTAGTGGTAAAGGCCTAAAATTAAAAGGATATCGTGCTATATAGGGGACCCAGGCACTCTCACAACCGTCCTCTAGGGCGAAGAAGGAGAGAGTGAAGAGTGTGTTTGGTCATGTGACAGATTTTGCCGCCAAGATACCTAAGGGAGGTAACACTGGGTGAGTGATTTTCAGCCGCTTTTTTGAAGGGAGCTTCAAAAGGGGATTCAAGTGTCCCACTATCATTCGCAAGAAGAAGGAGACAAGCAATTAAGCATGAGTCAGGATAAGGAAAAATATGTATTTTTTGCAAGGTTTTGTATGCTAATTCTACACACAAAAGTCAGGTGGAATGCATTTGCCATGGTTACATAGCAGATGCTAATAATTAATATTTTTTTTGTCTCCATGCTAGTCTGTATTTTCATTTCTCTTGTTTGATATTTATCTCAGTTCTTAATAAGGCCACAGGTCTATAGTACATTACAATACAATATAAACAATCAGACATAATATAAAAATATAAATAAAAAATAAAACTGTAAAAGTTCACACACCTCAATTGAATTGCAGACTCTCATTTTGTATTTATGTTATTTCTGTACATGGAGGCATGATAAATGAACATAGCTAAATCAGCAGAGATCGAAACCCAGTAAAGAATTCTGGGAAGTCGTGGGGGAAAGAAAAATAACAAATGCAACAACTAGTCCCAGGGAATTGCTCTGGATCAGTGTCCCTTTAAAACACATTCAATTCATAAACTTTACAAAATATCTGTGAAGAAAGGCAGAGAAGTAAAGATATTTTCATGGACTATGGGCAAACAGGTCACTTGACTTTCTGACAATTCATCTGAAAATGTGATCATGCATCTCATTTATTACATGAATTCTGTCTACATGATCGACAATCAGAAATTATCCATAAAATAAAGCATCCTTATCTAAACTAGGGCAACTTACTTAGACAACTTGTCATCTGACGTTGATGATGATGCCTGAGACCCATCTATAAGTTTGAACTGAGCGTTCACCATCTCTGGGGTAAGGTCAATGCCACACAGCCGAGATTTAGATTCTGCCATTTCCTCATCCCTGTAATATAACAAGGTTATTACTTGTTTGAAAGCAGTTCCAGTCTGGAAAAATACATACCTGAACCCATGCACTGCAGAGCAACTTGAAATGAAAAACATGCAGTGCTGCCAGTGTGTTATGCCCTTCTGGACATGGAAACTTAGAAAGTATTCAAGGAAATTCTGATGTAGTCATTGAAAAAATTGCATTATTGTGTGTAAGATCATTTCCATGTTTAGGCAAAAACATTATTGAGTTTATGTGTACAAAGCAGCCTCAGTTACATTTAATGTAATAGTACTTACAATAGACTGTACTATGACCATTATCAGTGTATGAAATAAGGCCCGCCCAACCGCCTGAGACGGGCTAGATTTCTGACGGACGGTCGGAATTTACAGCTAGCCAGCAAATTTTATATATTCCATACATCTCAGTAAATTCACCATATGTGGTCTGGTTAAAGCCATTTGGGGCTGGTAACATTTTTAAGTTACCAGCCCTGATGTCTGGTTGGATTATACCTAACTCTTATTTAATTGTTCACAGGATAGTATCAAAATCTGTATGATTTGAGACTAGACAACGTGACACGCCATTAAAGAGATGTTGTGTCAAAAGTCAGTTCACAAATTCAGTATCATGTGTGTCTACCATTGGGGTTGATGCAGGCTTGACAACGATGATGCATAGATGACAATAAATGAATGACGAAAACTTAGGGAATATTGTTCTATGTCTGAACCCACTCTCGTCCCAATTTTAGCTAACGTCAATCACTGATTCTGGGCTTGACGTAAATGTCACTCCATTTCATCCCAATCATGCATGAAATGGGACAGGTCCAGAGAAACAGCTGGCCAGGGGTGTGCTCCAGAATGTTTAGCTTTCTCAGGAAATCTGTTACAAAACTGGTGACATTTATACGGGCATTATCTTGCTGAGGAGTGAAGTCTTTGAATGAACAGCTGCACCTGAAACCCAATGATCTCATCCCTGTATCGCAGACCTATCAGATTGCCATTGGCAATAACAGGTTGTGTCCGACCATGAGATGTGATGCCGCTACATACAATAAAGCTTCTGCGACCAAAATGTTCACATGGAACAATGCATGCATCAGCTTTGCCCTGCCATCTGAGCTGTCCATTGAAATCTTGACTCAACAGTGACAAAACACCATCCCAATCTTGCCTCCTGTACCGTAGATGCTGTCTGCACTGACAAAATTGGACGTATTGTAGGGTGTTGGGACCAGATGTTGTGCTCCCTCAGTTGTTTCTGTACTGTCCTGGAACTGATTGGACGGAAAGCCAGGAATGGTCCGAGTAGTCAAACGGGCAGTCTGGAATTAATTCCTTAGATAGGTCAGCCGAATGTCACCAGGTCTTGCTGACGTGATGAGCACACATGGACCACCAATTCAAGGTAAATCTCTTGTGTTCCCATAATGTTGAAAACGTCTCCATGGACACAAAATGTCTGGTCCCTTCATATTCAGCCATTCCAGTCTCCAGCATACCCACGGAGCAAGACACTGATTTTCTGTAAGCAACGGCATGATGTACATGCACTTTAGGTTGAAATTAACATGTTTTCCACAACATTCTTCTGCAAAATAGAGACAGGCAAGGTGTCTGATGAACAGCCATAGCTCAGAAATCTGCTAGAAATCAGTGTTTCTTGTAAATGGCTAGGCCAAGCGCTGACAAAGTGTCTTAATGCTGTCACAATGCAGTTGCCATGGTAAAATTTTTGGAATGCCCAAGATGTGATGTGAGGTGAGGTGAGGTGAAATTGGGTTTAACGTCGTGCTTGAGAATATTTCGCTCATATGACAAGGTGCATGCGTGTGTATGGGTATGTGCGGCTGCTTGTACTAGCCCAGACTTAAGCTGGTTTTATAGTGCTAGCCCACTGAGATATCATGCCGCAGTGAAGCATGAATACCCCACTCAGACACATTATACTGACTCCGAGCCGACCAGTCCTTGTTGTACCCATTAACTCATTAAGCCCGAGAGCCACCTCACTACTCAACACCTGGAAGCCCTCGCTGATTGCCCACTCTCTGTGCCGAGACTAATTAGTGCTAGTCACACCTGATTTCCCTGGCAGGTTTCGGGGATCACAGGAAACTGTCTAGTCGTACAAACAAGTCCTGATTGTTTAATTGTGTCGTAAGATATATGTTGAAAGAAATCAGGTGTGAATACATGTCGTGTATTGCAAGCTTTATGTAATTTTATTGCAAGTTTCTCTTGTAAACCTCTTGTCGGCTTGTACATTTATATTTTATCACAATATGCATACACATGTATTCTTCGTATGTAACAGATGAGACACACGTTAACAAATTCTCTCTCTTATATCATTGTGTGAGGTTTAAATTTACAAAACATCTATGACAATGACATACGGTAAAGAAGAATTTACTTTCATACTTTATAATCTTCGAATTTAAAATAGCGGTTTTATGGATACATTTCTAGTGTTTACTTAATTATTTTAAAGAAAGTACTATAACGCTAGTCTGTGACTAGCACAAAGCACATTCATAGCATTGCACTTTATTTCATACAGATTTAATGCAGAAAACATACGTGACCATACAAACATACATATACAAAATGTATACTTCATATTCCTTGCATAGACATAAAACAAAGAGTCACGTGATAGGGAGTCATCAAATTTCCCGAATAGAACATTCGGTATCTCAACTGTTCAATGTAGTGGCTGGTCATATGTTATCTGTGACCAATCGTATCATGAGATACCTGTCACAGAGGAAAGGACAGGTGACGAGGCGTGGGCGAAATTTCTGAAGAGCACGTTTGGTCACTCAGCAGCTTGGATAGAGATTGGTTATTGGCTATATCCTTGACCAGTCGATATGCTGGGTTTCGGCTTTATCAACTCAAGCTATCATGTAACAGTTTGTGTATTGTAAACATACACACTGGTAACGATGTATGAAATAAACACATAAGACAAATAGGAGTAGATAGTCACTTTGGCGAGTTTATTTGTCCTCATTTTAGTGTTTTTCGATAAGTAAAACAAAGCGATTGAAATCCAACCACTGAGTAGAGGTAGTATTTATTTTCATATACATTTTATGCACACAACTAGTACATAAAACATAATGGTTTGCTGTACATGTAAATATAATCTTCACCTTGATACTTAATGACTATCCAAACTAGAGTACACGCATTACAGAATTCACGAGGTGACACTATACTGAATTATTATAGTGTATAAACTTGCAGTTGACACCCCCACCCCCAATATTTATGAAGGTTGGCGTGCCTATATCTTTACTGAATGCAAACGAGGCTCATAAGATTACAGATGTGCATGCATGTATAAACATCACAGAGAGGGGAGTGACTCCATAAAGCAAGACGTCCAATGATATAACAGCGCATCTGTTTATTTTACACTTGTCACGGGACAAACCTTTCAACAAGGACGTAACTACATATGCATTCTACCGGAGGCTGTTATTTCAAAGTCGAAAAGAGGCGTTCAATTATCTCATTACTGTAATCTGCTTGAATGATTATACGCATGTGTATTGATACCGTAACTGAGTTGATTGATACACGTGATAATTGCACCGGATTTGATAATTACACAGATCAAATACAAACGTTTTACAGAATGCTCATGTAAATTGCATAGAAAACTGACAATTCAAATCAACATGAAACTTTCAACAGCTTGAACAAAAATGCTTGAAAGACGTTTGTATGGCTTACACGTAATAACTTATGATATTACTTCTGTCCATGTGTGACAATGTTTTGAACTACCAACTTACTGTCTTTTGTAACAAACATAGTAAAACATTTCATTGTTGTTATAACACTGACATGTATATATGTATTCGATGCAAAGGCGCGACTTATCACTTTATATTCGCTTAGGTAACATTACGAACTTTAGATTATGGAAAACAACTAGTTACAATTCAGTAAACTTCAAATTAGTAAGTTCAATTATGTTTAATCTATTCGAGCTTGGATGTATAATTACTTGTGTTTATACATTATGTTTCAGTATATGAAACATGACAACGTAATGATGCCTAAAAAGTAAATTCAAACTATTCTATTGTGTTTGAATTCTTTGTATGTCCTTGAAATTTCGTATATTGTTTCCTATTTATTAGGTAGTTGAAGGAAATATAATTTTTAGTAACCTCTAAACCATTACATCTAATTCAATCAAGGTGCATACGAAGTATTTTAGTATCCATTCCCAAGGAAGAGTACCAGGCACTTACCTCTGTAAAAACATCATAATCCCCTTTCTCGCCGACATGCGTTCATTTGCTAAACGCTGTACAAGCCTATGATAATGATTAGCAATTGCTATCAAAACACTTTAAATACTTCTTCCGATTGATACTAAAGGTGGGATCTCTCGTAAGAAAAGCTAACATTTGCTCAGTACTGCTAAATTGGTTGAAATAAAATGTACAGTGCGATTTTTAAAAGTACAACACACATGTGCGTCTCTCGCTGAATAAGAGGTGCTTTCTGTTGACCACTGTATGGGGCTCTCGCTGTGAGAAACTGCTAATTACCTGCCCCATAAACACGTCACTCGCTGTGAGGAGCTGATTAATTTGCCCCATATATGCGTCTCTCGGCCTTAATGAGTTAATGCCGAGCGCCAGGCAGGGACCAACAAGTACCATATTTTAACGTCTTTTGGTATGACGCAGTCGGGGATCGAACCCGTGACCTTCCGCTCTCTGGGCGGACGCTCTAACCACTACACCACGGAGGCGGTCAAGATGTGATGTGAATAAGATGTTGTCTGTGAGACCAAAGAAAGTGAAACTAAAATCCAGGAGTCTCTCCAGGACATTGGATAACTGCCTGGCTCATGTAATGAGCTTCTTGTGCATTAGCTACATGAGACAGGCACCCCTACAGAACTGCTTCCACATCCAAAGGTCAAACATCATTGCTTGGAATTCCAGGTACTTGATGTGCCAGTGC